CAATCAATCCATGTTTAATCAATATTTTTCATAACAAAATCTAGATTATTTAATAATATTTGTTGGGTGTTAATATAAACTTTGTGATGAAAGAATAATAAAGAAGGAATAATTTGCTAAACGCGATAAAATTCCCAGAATTTAGTTTTATTCACTTTGTTTTATCTCGATGTTTATAATTTACATTTATATGCAGTTACTAATCAATTATAATAACCCTATTAGTATAATAAAATAATATTATGTCCTCTATGTCGAGGTCTGATCACACAAGTTTGCATCTGATCAATGAACAATAAATACTAGATCGAAATAAAAGATGATTTTGTTGTAATAAATCATGTAAATAATTGCTTGACCAACGGCATTTAATATATATACATATATATACGTAAAAACTCACGCCTTTCACCCAGAGGGGTTGGTAGAGACTACAGACTTCCATTTAGCACAATCCTGTCATTCTCGTACCTCTCTCGCCTCCTCCACATCCATATATCTACGCATACACGCACGTCGGTTACGGGTACTCTTAATTTGGCCCATTTTTCAACAAACTTTCGCCTAGGATATCACTTTCCGACTCTTCCATTCACTTCTGCAACATATATTTGCTTTGTCAGTATTTCCTCATTCATTCTTCCTACATGACCAAACCACCGTAGGACTCCTTTCTTAATCCTGGTCTGGTTTTCTTTAATAACTTAATAAGGTCCGAATATTTTTTTGAGTTTTAAGCTTCTACAGTACGATTCTACTATTTAACCTTATTTCTTTGCGAATCGCTTTGTTTATATCTTACTATAGATAGGATATTAGTAAATTACCAGTGCGGATCTTTCTACCTTTTCTCGTAATTACTTCCACCGCCCATGGGACGATTTCTTTAATGTTATTATTTTACATGATTAAAACTACTTTTACGGAATTTTTCGCGTTTATTTTTACTTTTTATTTTTAATTCCCGACGTTTCGGGCGCTTTCCAGCACCCATGGTCACGGGGGACTGGGTAATTAAAAATAAAAAGTAAAAATAAACGCGATAAAATCCGTAAAAGTAGTTTTAATCATGTGCAATGTTCGCGTAAATATAAGAAATCATTATGTTATTATTTTAATCCAATAATATACACCCAAAACAAATAATGAAAGATCACATAAGCCTTCTGTTATTTCTGAAGGAGAAGGGGTGTGACAGACTTCAAGTCTTTTGTTTTTTTTTAATCTTTCAGACATGACGATTTCCTCATGACGTTTTTCTTCACGCCAAACTCGTAAATCATCATTCGTTGGTGTATTTCTTTATCGTATTCAATTCCAAGACAAACGCTATTCAATGACGTTAAAAGTCAGGGACCTAGCGGCGATAGGTTACTATCATGTTGGCGATCTAAAATACGTTCGGCATTAGCACGCGGCATGTTGCCGGACGCGTTTATTTAGATTTCACATTTATTAAAAAAATTCGTGTGAATTTTTCGTGTCTATTAAAATTCACACGCAGTTGGCGAAGTCCTCAAATAACTGTAGTGTTTGAATACGAGTTATGGCTTCCGAATATCAATATCGATTAGACAAAGAGAACACAACGGGTATGCCGCTAAAATTCTGAGATGTACGCAATTGTACAATCGTACCATCCCATTTTTTTAAAAACTGATGTTTATACTACAAATATTTTTTTCTTTTTGTTTTTTGAAACGTTACCTCCACACTAGGATTTTCTCCTGTATCGTGGGGGCAGTTTAAAAATACTTGCTCCCTTAGCGCTTTAACTAATGCACTTGCTCCCTTTTACCCTTAGCGCTGTAACTCATCGGCCACGGAGCCGTCTATATATATATATATATATATATATATATATATATATATATATATATATATATATAGTATCACATTAAATATTCAGCTGAAGTAAGAACAAAAAAGATATGAAAATTAGTAGTATAATTGTAGCACGAATGGGTCGGCTCGACCGGGGAAGGATTACGCTCTCACAGAATACCAGCGTCAAATAGTAGTCTAATGCTGCTGTGTTTCGTATGGTGAGTGTAGAGAACCGGAGACCCTTTTTACTGGAAACGAGGCATTCTATCTTAGTCCTCACGGGTGACAATGCATCTGCATTTTGATTCGTAATCGAGGATAGATGTAGATGTCAATGGCCACAGCATTTACCATGTTGACTGTGTGCTCGTTTGTCACCCTATCCTATAAAAAAAATAACAACATAAATCATTAAATAGTCACTGCCGTAAAAATTATACCTTAGTATATACCATATCACAGACCATAACACACATTTCGAACACTGTATTTATCATTATCAATGATGACAAATATTTTGTGTTGGTTCACCGTGCAGTGGCGTTGTTAGAATATCTACTACCCCATATCGTCCCGTGGGTGTCGTAAGAGCTGACAGAGGGAAACTGAACCAGTGTCCATCTCAGCAGCATCTTTCTGACACCTTAAAATTATAAAAAAAACTGCGTTTATGCCAAGCGTGGCAACTACAATTAACTAAATGGCAAAACTAACTTTACGGCAAATTATTTTTTTTTGTTAGTTTTAACCCTTAGACAATTCAACCGAATTCAAGACAATTCAATGGTCTAAGTTTTAACCATGTCTAATATAAATAAAATTTTATAAATGCTATTTGCAAACGAAATAAAGAAAACTTCTGATATAAAATAAGAATTTTGTCTAATTTTAAGTACCTATTAACTAAGCAAATAAAACATGAATTAATAATATGCACTTTATTACTTCACGAATTATGAGATCTTGAGTATATTGAATGCCTACAATGATATCCTTTTTTATATATACAGTTCATTGAATATATTCAGCAATCTTTGGGAGGAGCCTACGTTCAGCAGTAAACTTTTATAGACGGTAGTGTTAATGGATGGTGTTTAGGAAAAATTGCTAAAACGCCTACAAACATTGTAGTAATATGTACGTTACGTACTAGAACAGCTATCTCAAACAAAAAATGTGCGCTACTCTGTGTTCGCGCGGTTGTTTTTTTTTTGTATCATAGAATAAACATAGGTAGAATGATCAGTAGGTAATAGTAGATTATATTGTTAAATAGGTAAATTATATAGAGAACAATTTTCAAATTTTGTCATTTATTCGTATATTATATTTGCTTAGTTAATATAATATTATATAATAGTATATCACAATTACATTTTAATGATATTTTCATCTGAATATTTTAAAAGGTATCTATGTCAAATATAAAAAAACATACTAAATGTATGTTTAACAAAACTTAATATAACATTTAAATTACAAATATATTTATTTAAATTAGAATAAGAGTCGTTCATAAATGCTGGGCACGCGAGAGTTAAAAATGAACGAATTTATTCCACTTTGACTTTGATGTGGAAACCTAAAAATAAAATAAAAGTATAATGAGCAGATTTAAATATAAAATTTTAGCCTAATTATGATAACTCATATATTTTTCTACAAAAAAAATGTGTATATTTATTTTTTTTATATATTCGTCCTATACTTAAGTACCCACAGAAATGTCGCATCTGAACAAATTAATTTCATGATCTATATTACATGACACGAGATGGCGTCTTAGGTATAATTTGTTTTATTATTAATCTAGAATACTTTCTTATTGATTAAGTATCTTATTAACCGATGAAAAGTAATTCCTTGGTTTTTACTGACATTTCTTGAATTATTTGTGCAATATCTAAGTACACACGATGGCATATTTTTATTAAGAGATTTTTTTTAAATCAACACAACACGTGACAACTCTACAAGCGCCTAGCGAGTGACTGATTAAAGTGCGGTGTATGCACCGCAGTTGAGTGGAACAGAGTAGCTGAATGCAGTGTCACCTCTAGTACGTAGTACATAATAGCTCAATGCTTACAAACCATATAATTTATATATTATTATTATGTTGCAGCTTATGTATACATCCCACAGCTGGACACAAACCTTCTCTTATTTCTAAAAGTGTTATGGGATAATAATTTCGTCTCCGAAATTGACAATGAAAATTTTTATTGGACCCGTCACCAGGTCCGAACCTGGTTGCCCTACTATGAAATTACGCCTTGAGTTTTTAAATAACATATAACATACCTAAACTTAATTTCGAACAAATCGCTATTGTATTTTAAAAATAAGTTTATAAATTATATATACAAGCTAGATTGTGAATGTGGTCTCTTTTACATGGGTCAATCAAAAAGATCTATAAAAACCCGCGTAAAGGAACATATAGCTGACGTGAAGCACCGACGCTCCGGGAAGTCTGCAGTCTACGAACATGTTCAAGATCGTCCCCACCATTACATTAGATTTGATGAATCACAAATCCTCGCAAAAGAACACCGATTCCTACCAAGGATGATACGCGAGGCTATTGAAATTAAAAAAAAACCTCCAAATTTCAATAGAGAAGATGGATGGGTGCTGCCATCTGCTTGGGATCCTATAATTAACAAAATTAAACCCAAACCCAAGCATAACACTGCAAGAGCTCATGATACTATAAGCTCGTTTTGCGTAAATCGGACCAAAAATTAATATTCAAAACCTGAAGATAGCCGGACTAACTATGACATTGGGACGTCAAACATCTCAGTACCCCCCCCCCCCGTGACCAGGGGTGCTGTAAAGCACCCGAAACGTCGGGATAATAAAAATAAACTAAAGTTGTAATTAAACGCGATAAAATCCGTAAATAATAGTTTTATTCAATGTGTAGTGTTAGCGTAAATTTAAGAAATCATTATAAATTTCGTTGTACTATAGTTGATTTTCATGTGTTTATTTCAGTGTTGGAGCTCGAATTGAAAGATGTAGAGAAGCAGAAAATGAAAGAAGATCTACTGACACAAGCCATTGGGGCAATTGGAAGGTGGCAAATATGGATATGCTTCGTAATATTCCTCGTAAAATTTCCAGTATCCTGGCATCAGATGAGCATCATATTTCTAGCGCCACCCATGAATTTCACGTGCGCGAACTCGGGTCATGATTTTAAGAGTGTATGTCTCGCGGAATATAGTAATTGCACTGATTTTGATTACGATAGAAGTGTATTTCGCGAGACAATCATTTCCCAATGGAACCTCGTATGCGATAGAGAATATTTGAAGAGTTTAACGCAGACGATCTTCATGTTTGGCATTCTTGTGGGTAACATGGTCTTCGGTCATCTGTCAGACAGGTAACTACTAAATCCTTAATTTAAATATTAGATTAGCACAAGCAAGCAAAAGTTAGTCTGGGTATCCTCATCTAATTTGTTCCACAAAGTAATATCGCCACCTCAAAAAAAAGTGTAAGATTTATCTTTCTTTTATTCACTTTCTCTGTTTGAGAATCGTTACACCTAGATTTTCTCCTATTTTTTGAAGGCAGTTCACTTTAGCAGTTTAGTTAAGTTAAATTTCACAAGCACCAGAATCCAGAACCAAATCAAGAACCGGATTATTATTTCTAATCTATTTGCATAGTTTGTTCCGTGCGGGATTCGAACCCGCGGTAATTAGCGCCACAGCTCACTGCTAAACCACTACGCCACGGTGCCGACGCAAAGGAAGTAGTACCAACTACCAACAGTAAGGAGTACCAACTCCCATATGAGATTATGTGAATAGTTTAAAAAGTGTCCATTTGTAAGCAAGAAATAATAGTTCAAAAACTCTCCACTACAGCGCTCGAGTAGCTACGGGGTATGTTAAATCGCCGTAAAATACGTTGAGAGTGATTTTGAAAATAAAAATTTTGAAAGCAATAAAATAATCACTGTAGAAAGAATTATAGTGAAAGCCTTTGCAGTAAAAAAGTTATAAAAAGTTCTTTAAAATTTAGATTGTAGCTACAGTGGCGCCACCGTTATTTAACGCTTTCCTACCGACACTTTTTTATACAGAGATTTTATACTCCATATATTTTTTTTCAGAGTTGGCTGTTGAAATAGCTTATCAAACTGCACCGCATGCTTGTTTCCGTCTTGAATGTTATTCATTATATATACTCATTTATTCATGTAATTTGGTGTACTGAAATAATCTAGATGTAATCAGATTGCGCATAGACCTCTTCTAAAGTAGCGGTAGTTATTAAAGTTATTATTTTATGCGTTACTCCTGCAAGACAAGTTTTAATTTTGCATTACTTTGGACAAATTGACACATCCTGTGTGTCTTCGTAATGCTAAATTGCACTGTGACTCCGGATACGATTACTTAAGATAATATTCCACAACATGGCTTGGTTCCATTTTATTTTAGCTTCTATATGCAATGAATTTCGATTGTGAAAAAGAAATACACACAATGAATAAAGACAATCAATTTTTGTATGGAGAATGGGCCCACCACAAATTTTCGCGTCACGCAATGAAATGGATGTCGATTTATTCCTTATAATTTATAGTTTACAAAAGTAATATTAGTTTTACCACATCTAGACGGAAAATCGAGAAATTGACAATTAAAATATGAATTTTAAAATAACCTATAAATAAACTAAAAGCTATTTATAGTGGTTTTTACCGGTATTTTGAGTTAAAATAGTGCACTGTTGAATAATAGTTCATATAAAACCAAGTTGTAGGTACATTCAGCATTTTCAGGTACTTCAATATTTTTAGTAGTTACGGCAAAATATAGTGCCTGTCTGTGTACAAATGTGGTATGGATACAATTTTTTACATATATTGATTGTGAGTGTACTTCCCAATTACCGTTAAAATAATATGAATAAATTCAAGATGACTAAGGTATAATATATCCATTTATATTTACAATATTACCAACACACGTTATATAGTAAGAAAGATGTTTTAAACTGACTGTGTAAAAAACAAGTTATAATGCAACCGTATTTATAGATGGTAAATCATCATTTCCAACATAGTCTATATAATTCAGACATATAATTCAGATCTATTTATGCAGACAGACAGACAGGCCCGGTGTCAAGACTTTTTTTAATATGCTTTGGTTGATTATTAAATACCTAATTATACATCTTAAAATGACTGGGTTCTAAAATACCAAAATGACTAGGTAATATCATGATTATCTGTTATTACACACTGATAAATTGTGAGGAAGTAAGATGTTTTGAACTGTTTGTGCCAGGATAACAAACACACAGGTATAGTTTAATTGTATTTATTATTAGCGATCCGCCCCGACTTCGCACAGGTGATTTCTGGATTTCGACAACAGCGCCACCTACCGAGTCCATATGTGAATATGAATCATATAGAGACCCGTTCAAACACACATAAACATATCATCAAAATCGCTTGGATGGTTTCTAACGGACATAGGTAGAAACATTTTTCGTGTTTTCATATCAAAAGATCATATTAAAAGATTTTTCCAAAATAACTTGATGGTAACATTTCTATTTATGATACGATATTGATATGTAATAAGTCCCAAAGATCATGTATAATCACTGCATTAATTATGGTTAAAATCGTCAGTGTTTTATGAGTCCTCTTTTAAAAATAACACAGCAGACAGGTGCAGTGCCGGCCCTTTGTTCATTAAAGTATTCATCTATTAGCAAGTATAAATCCCATACATCATTAAAATATAATGTCTCGCCCGTTTACGATATTATTAGAAATCAGAAGGATATTGTCAATTAAAAGAGATAAAAAAAGGGTGCCAAAGCAATAAATTCAACTTTGCTCGGCGTTTATTTATAAATTACACATATAACATAATATATAACAGATAATAAAGCACACAGTAAAATAGAAATAGTTCAAATAAGCAACAAAAATTACAATTTTTAGTCATCATTATTCATCATCATTACAACAGTCCACTGCCGAACATATGGCTCCTAAATTAAAGATATAATGTAAAATATTACAGAGGCCTTCCGTGAATTGCCATCACGTTCCGTCCCGTATGGTGTCGTTAAAGTCGACAGAATAAAATAAAAATACTAGGAGATGGGGAGCAGCATCTTCCTATAGAATACCACAAAAAACTTTGGTTGCCACAAGTGAAGCAACTATAGCAAAAATGATCATTTATATTACAATATTAATACGCATTAAGATTAATAATCATCATTCATCATTTTCAATATCATTACTTGAAAGTAATATATCATCTAAAAAAGATGCAGGTGGTTCAACCTCATCTCGATGCCGTGCCCAAGATAGAAACCAGACAACAGACATGACATGTGCACAGCAGCCAACAGTGCGTCTGCCTACCAAACAGTTGCAACAGTACCCAGTAAGAGCAGCCCTAGTGTTAGCAATTGATGGGTTGGTGTCAACTAGTATATAAGTGTAATAAGTTTTTTTTACTAGTGTGCCTTGATTGTATCCTACCTCGCAATAGATAACTATTTGGACCAAAATCATGGACAGATTGCAGGTATACCTCGATTTTATATTCTCCAGAAGCCCTGACATGCTCCCCGTAATAACTACGAGCTTGTTTAATTTGATAAATTCCTAGACTAAACAGAATGGCCTCGGCGTCGACATATCGAGTGACGTGCAGTTTCGTGGTCACTTGGAAGGGAAGGCCAAATTGGCCTCTAAAAAGCTTGGCGTGCTCAGCAGAGCGGGACAGTATTTCATGCCGGCACACCGCCTGCAACTTTACAAGGCGCAGGTTCGGCCGCTCATGGAATACTGTTCCCATCTCTGGGCTGGGGCTCCCCAGTACCAGCTCCTTCCACTTGACCGCATCCAGCGCAGAGCGGCTCGAATCGTTGACGACCGAGTGCTTTCCGATCGGCTCGATTCACTGGCGCTGCGAAGAGATGTTGCATCTCTTTGCGTATTTTATCGCATCTATCACGGGGAGTGCTCTGAGGAATTGTTCGGATTAATCCCAGCCGCCAAATTTCGTGAACGCACTACACGGCAAACGTCCCGATACCATCCACACCATCTGGATGCTTGGCGGTCCACCACTGTACGTTTCAAAAGGAGTTTTCTTCCGCGTACAACCTCTCTGTGGAATAATTTACCACCGGTGATTTTTCCGGACCGATACGACCTGGGGACCTTCAAGAAAAGAGCTTACTCCTTTCTAAAGGGCCGGCAACGCACCTGCAATTCCCCTGGTGTTGCGGTTGATCATGGGCGGCGGTAGTCACTTAACATCAGGTGAGCCACATGCTCGTTTGCCCCCCTCTTCTATAAAAAAAAAAAAAAAAAAAAAAAAAAGAATGAGATCCTGGAATGTCAGTTGAGGAAAACTATCCAGCTCTGGAAGATTACCATTAATGCTGGCAAATCGCACTCTCACTCTATTTAAATTGTGCATTTCTACGTAGGAGGCTAAATTATTTGGAGTGTTTAGTTTGGCTTGAGCAATTGCCAATATCTCTACAGCATGAAAATTATTACGAATCAACGTATGAAATCGATTTATTAATGCAGCTGCAATTTTAAAGTATAGCATGAGATGAGTAGATGCAGTATTAAAATATTCCTGACGAAATAATTTGAAGTCCCGTTTAAATCTCCCATTTACAATTTCAATCACCCACCTGCACAAAGTTACACATCTGGACTTGTTGGCAGCAATGGTTGATAATTGTATTTCACCAGCTTGTTTAGATTCAGGCATGTAAGCCTTATAACCACATTGCTGCAAGAATGGAATTGCATCCCTAAAACCTCTATCAAGAATAAATACATCGTTTTCTCTAAAATAGGTTCGCAGTGGACTACTATCGTTGAACAGTCTAAGAATTATAGAAGCATCTGATTCTGTTGCAGGATATGGTCCAAAAACATCAAGGATATAACCATTACAGCACACTATTAAAAATGGCTTAACTAAGTTACGATACTTATGTAAACTATATGTTTGCTTCTGGTATAAGTAATTACTACTTTTTTGCACATAAATGTATGTACCATCACATATTACTATGGCTGGCATAAATTCAGGATCCATATCTGGATTACCAAACAAGCCATTTGGTATTGTCAAGTTATATTGAGCAACTTGTTGAATGCATAAGGTATTTGTCCCTAAATGCAGTTGGATGAATTGCTCTTCAAAGCACTGACTTACAATATTTAAGTGATTGAACACAGTCGATGAAGCTACATTAAATAGAGAAGCTATGCGTTCATTGCTATCACCTGTACGAAGTTTCACTAAGAACATAGCTAGACTTCTTTTAGGTGATTTAACTCTTTCACTGATAGATGGAATT